CTGATAGCTGGGTTCCATCTCCAGAGATTCTGAAAACATTGGACTAGGCTTTTAAAATCTCCCTGGGTAGTTCTGATATGCAGCCAGGATTGAGAACTACTGCGTTAGGTAAAGGCAAGGCTGTCTTTATAAACCATTATGAGAATCTCCTTTTGTCTGAGAGGGTTCCCTCCTCCAGCCTTGTCTGGGATTTGAGTGGACCTCATTGTAATCGCTTATCCCAGTGGCTCCTGGGCCACAGAACCTTGTGCCTGTCTCCAAGAAAGGGCTCTGGATCATTAAATCACACCTTGCTGTGGCAGGGTGTCCTCATCAGTTACTGGCTAGAGAAATGAACCATGCAAGTAGAGAGGAGATGCTGCCCGTTCTCACTTTATAGGTAGAAAAAGTCTTGTGTTTTTACATAACACAGATCTTTTCCTTATTTGCTTTCATCAGCACTTTTTTCTTTGTCTACTCCCTCAGCTTTGATTCTTGTTTTCCTAAATATCCATTTCCTCTGTGGATATTGTCATCTCTGTTCTGCCATTTATGGTAATATTTTGGCAGCAGGCTGGCTGTTATTAACAGCCTAACTCCCCATGCTTGAGGAGGGGGAGAACACACCTTACAGGTACACCAGGACTCCTTTGTGAGGTAAAGCATCAGACTCAATACTGCTTCACTTAGCAGAGTAAAATGGACAGGCAGCCAACAGCTCTGATGTCATCTTTGCTTCATTATTAATTACACCACTACTTTAGATAAGGAAATTAGTGTTAGATGTCCAAGAAAGCCATTTATTATTGTTCATTCTGACACAATTCCATTAAGGTAGTTGTCCATGCATTTTTGTCACGACTTTTCTAATGGAGTGTTTAGTTCGTTCCTTCCCAAATAAAGCAAATTCAAAGCAGTGTCAGAACTTGATGGACGTCCTATGTGTTTTCTTCAAAAATGAAAATTAAAAAAATTCTAAATGCCTTAAACCATACTCAATGCTCACATAAAGTCTGCTTTTGGAGATTCGAGACCAGAACTGTCACTTTCACTCTCCCAGCCAAATGTCAGGAAGGAGCAATTATGCACCCGTGTCAAGAAGATTCTTTGGCCAGCTGGATTCGAATCACTTATTTGCTTTTGTGGTGCTACAGATTGTATCCATTGAGATTAATTTGGCTCTTCTAACTTGAGCAGGCCAGTTCATTAATCTAAAAACAATGGAAAACAATGCGTGACATGGACGCTGTAAGTTCTTTGGAAACAAGTTGAAAGCAGAAAAGTAAATGATGAAATTGAGGCTGGTGACCCTGCACACTCAGGACTCTCTGGCTGCTTTCTGGAGGGGACAATGACATTTTAATTGGGTCTTCTCATTTCAGGAAATTCCAGGCAATTGCTGGGGAAAGAATCTGAATGACAGTCATCAATTTGCCTTGTAAGGCATGACTGGAGAGACCATTGTCATTGACGGGGCCACATTCCTGGTCTGGCAGGAGTTGACTACTGTAGGAATTACTACTGGAAGCTGGCAGATAAGGCATTATAGCAGATACAGCAGTATAACTGCAAACTGAAGGAGAAATATCTGTTATTACAGTAAAGTCAACTTTATGGACAATTCCTGAAGGCAGCAGAAACTTTGTCATTAGTCAAGAATACTCTCATGTGAAGAACAGCTTCCTATACAGAAAACCTGGAGGCATGAAATGACACATATGATTACAAAGTTCCTGAAGAAGTTTCCGCAAGGTAGCCCCACAGCACCATGACCTATTTGTGTCTTTCTTCAAACACTCTCCTGGGTCAGCAGATCAGCAAAATAGGTATCAGCAATGTGCTCTACCTTGTCAAAAATGCCCCATCATGTAACTATAAAAACAAGGTAAGCAGTGCAAGTCTACTCTCCCTGCCATATTTTCTGCAAAAGTGAGGAGAATGCCCAAAGTGGTAAACTTTAGGCAAAACAGGTAGTAATGGGCTTTTTTTTTTTTTAAATTGTACTTTAGATTAACATTTACAGAACTAATTTCTCATTAAACTGTTAGTACACATATTGTTTTATGATGACATTGGTTAACAACCCCACGACATGTCAACACTCTCCCTTCTTGACCTTGGGTTCCCTGTTACCAGCTTTCCTGTCCCCTCCTGACTTCTAGTCCTTGCCCCCTGGCTGGTGTGCCCCTTTAGTCTCATTTTGTTTTATGGGCCTGTCTAATCTTTGGCTGAAGGGTGAACCTCGGGAGTGACTTCATTACTGAGCTAAAAGGGTGTCTGGGGGTCACACTCTCAGGGTTTCTCCAGTCTCTGTCAGGTCAGTAAGTGTGATCTTTTTTTTGTGATTTAGAATTTCATTCGACATCTTTCTCCAGCTCTGTCCGGGACCCTCTACTGTGATCCCTGTCAGAGCAGTCAGTGGTGGTAGCTGGGCACCATCTACTTGGACTCAGTCTGGTGGAGGCTGTGATAAATGTAGTCCATTAGTCCTTTGGATTAATCTTTCCCTTGTGTCTTTAGTTTTCTTCATTCTCCCTTGGTCTTGAAGGGGTGAGACCAGTGGAGTATCTTAGATGGCCACTTACCCGAGACGCTACTCACCAAAGTAGAATATAGAATATTTTCTTTATAAACTATGTTATGCCAGTTGAGCTAGATGTTCAGTAATGGGCATTTTTAGGGTAATGCAATTCAACCAAGAGAAAAAAATTATCTGTGTAAAAGCAACAAAGTAGCTGGCAGAAGGACATCACACTGCAGGCTAGGAGTCCATTTACAAGACTCGTGCCACAAGAAACCATGGTGCTGTGTTTCTACTCTGACACCCGGCACCGCTGCCAAGAATGAGAAGTAATACAAACATTTAAAGGTGCCTGGTTGGAGCATTCATCCTAGAGGTACAAAAAACAAGTTCAGTGTCAACAGCTCAAATGCTGCTCTCTTTCCTCCCATAATGGGCTTTGCTGCTACACGGCCAAGAGTGTCTATTTTAGTTATCTAGTTCTGTTATAACAGAAATAGCAGAAATAGCTGGCTTTAACAAACAGAAATTTACTTTCTCACAGTTTTGTTGTTAGTTGCTGTCAAGTTGGTCCCAACTCATAGTGATCCTGTGTATAACAGAATGAAGCACTGCCCAGCCCTGCACCATCCTCACAATCTTTGCTATGTTTGAGGCCATTGTTGCAGCCACTGTGTCAATTCATCTCATTGAGAGTCTTCCTCTTTCTTGCTGACCCTCTACTTTATCAAGCATGATGTCCTTCTCCAGGGACTGGTCCCTCCTGATAACATATTTAAAGTACGTGAGACAAAGTTTCGCCATCCTCGCTTCTAAGGAGCATTCTGGCTGCACTTCTTCCAAGACAGATTTGTTTGTTCTTCAGGCAGTCCATGGTATATTTGATATTCTTCGCCAACACCATAATTCAAAGGCATCAATTTTTCTTCGGTCTTCCTTATTTATTGTCCAGCTTTCCCATGCATCTGAGGAGACTGAAATTACCATGGCTTGGGTCAGGCACTATCTTAGTCCTCAAAGTGACATCTTTGCTTTTTAACACTTTAAAAAGGTCTTTTGCAGCAGACTTGCCCAATGCAATGCATCATTTGATTTCTTGACAGCTGCTTCCATGGTTGTTGATTGTGGATCCAAGAAAAATGAAATCCTTGACAACTTCATTCTTTTCTCCGTTTATCATAATGTTGCTTATTGGTTCAGTTGTGAGGATTTTTTTTTGTTTCTTTCATGTTGAGGTGTGATCCATACTGAAGGCTGTCATCCTTAATCTTTATCAGTAAGTGCTTCAAGTCCTCTTCACTTTCAGCGAGTAAGGTTGTGCCATCTGCACATCACAGGTTGTCAATGAGTCCACTATTTAATACATTCTCAAATATTTAATCCCTTTGTAAATTATATATCCTTACACCTGCTGTAAGAAATGCTTTCGTTGAAGTTTTAGTGTTTGTGATGCCATCGAATTTACCCATGCCAGGCCCAGTGTGGAGATAGGACTGGTCAATATTAGAATTTCAGCTTCAGCTGCCATAGAACAGCCTTCTGGGTAAGTGTCCTGGGAAGGAAGATGACCAATACTTACCGTAACTCTTAATGTAGGTATCCCTTGCCAGTCAGCCTTCCTGAGGCCTACAGAATTTATACAAGGTTCGGTATTTCCCTATTTTAGTACCAACTAGTACCAACTAATGTTTAACAAATGTCTAATTTGAGCAAAGTTCAGTTACAAAAAGGTCCCCCACTTAAAGATAACATCTAAAACAGTAAAACAAGTCGAAGCCCAAATCAGGACCCTGATTTTTAGCTCCACTGCTAAAAAATTTATCTATCTATCCAGCAGCTTCTGCTGCTCAGTAGGCATCTAATATCGCCGAGGGGTTCCACACAAGGAGGTGAACAGACCAGTGCTGGGACCATTACTTGCTATTCTTAGAGAGCAGAGTTCCATTTTCCCTGAACATTTGAGGACAGGTGTTGAGGCAATCCGTTAGTGTATGTTTTGCCTAATATTGGGCCAGATGGACTCTAACTAATGTACTCCATAACTGGAGGGAAGGCTTCTTCCTTTTCCTCCTGGCTCACTAGGACACAGTTCTGGCTACTTCTTCTGGCCACCTAGCAAGCATGCTAGAATGGGATCCAGATCGTCTTCAGTAGGTAGGTAGGTTAGCTATACAAGGTGCTGGCAGTGGGGAGCAGGTGGGGAGACAGGGCCATACTTCTGTTGCTTTAGGGACTGGGATGGGGGTGGGGGATGGGAGTGGATATTTTGCTCCCTGTATGGCTCTTGAAATACAGGGCTCACACTTGTGATCCTGATAGGTGACTGGAAATTCTCTCCATTAAACTCAAGCGCAGGTCCACAGACCACTGCAGACTGGTGATACAGGGTGGTGGGTTTAGGGCAGGCTGTCTTGTGGAAAGGGCTCCCTGCTTTCTTCAAATCATCTTAAGTTCTAGGCAATTGGCTGATGAGTTGCTCTCGCTCTCCTTCTACCATTTGGCCATTTTCAGATACTATGATGTAAAAATTTCTTTCCCTCCTCCTCTCTGCAAATACTTTTTGCGGACAAAAGATTTTATGTTCTCCCAGCAATAATCATCCATCTGTCTTGAAAGAGAACAGTTGCTTTCCACTGCTTTATCAGCAAACTTTAATGCATCTACAAGTTCATTAAAAACTTTTGATCAAAAAAGGAGAATTAAGACGTACAGCATTTTGAAGTTCAAAGTTAAATGTATTTTAAGTCCCTAAACATAGGCGAACCCACCAGCTGCTTCTTGGGAGAAAGATGTGGCAGTCTGCTTCCGTAAAGATTACAACCTTGGAAACCCTATGGGGCAGTTCTACTCTGTCTTATATGGACGCTATAGGTTGGAATCGACTCAATGGCAGTGGACTTAACTGGTACCATATTAAGTTTTGATTATTCTTTAATTTATACTCACAAAAACTTTAGAATTAACTTGAATAGTTACATAACAAGTCGTGCTGAGATTTTAAAATAGAACTGAATTTACAGTATTGAGTCTTCCTATTCATGACTGTATTCCTCTCCCCTTATTCAAATTCTTTTATGCCCTTCAATAAAATTTTATCTTTTCCCGTAACACCCTAGCACATTTGTTAGGCTTGTTCCTAGGTACCCTGTATTTTTTGTTACTGTTGTAAATGGTATCCATTCCCTCCCCGCCATGAAACCTCCCAATTAATTGTTGCTTTTATAGTGGACGTTTGTATATTAACCTTGTATTCAGCCACCTTTTTGAACTCTATTGATTCTAACAGTTTGTCAGTTGATTCTTTTTGATTTTCTAGGTAGATTATATTTCCTACAAATCATGAGAATTATTCTTACTTTCCAATATTTATCTCATTACTTTCTCTTACTACACTGGCTAGGACTGCCAAGAACATTGCTGAATAAAAGCTGCAGAGATTATCCTTGTTTGGTCTTTAACAATAATGCTTCTGATCTTTTACCACTGAGTACAATGTTTCCTTGAGATATTCTTTAAGAAGTTAAGGAATTTCTAGTTTGGTAAGTTATTTTTGTTTTTAAACAAAAATGGTGTGGTGACTTCTTTTTTCCCTAGACCTACTCTAGTTAAAGACAATTTATCCTTACAGACTTATTTTCACTGTTCAAAAACCTAAAAAAAGGTAATACTAAATTAGTTTAATAGTTAATACTACTTTCAAAAATATGAATAAAAGGATTCCTCCTGAGGAACTCATGATTAAAGTGAGTTATGTAACAAATAATGTAACTTATTTGGCACCCAGGAAGCTCCAAGTCAAACTAATACTGTAACACTCTGTATGTCAGTCTGCTCATTTATATTGTATTGGCACCATTCCTTCCCAACCCCCAACCAGGATGACATCACTTATTCTAATTTGTACCATCCTAGATGCTTATTGCATAGATTTCCTGTTAGTTGCCACTAATCTTTAATGGTATAAAACGAAGTAAAATAAAATCTTCAAAAAGAGATGTAACTACACTTGGGTTTAAAATGAAGAATAAGAGAAATGTGATATAGACAGGAAGTACTATCGGTTTTTTTTAAACAAAAATTCATTAGTTATCAGGAAATCACATGGAGACATAACACGATGGTTGATAAGGCTTAGGTGCTATGAACCAAGTCTCACCCAACATCTGGAGTTAAAAGTTGGGCTCTGTGGGTCCTTGGTAATCTAGTCCAGAGGAAATTCTGTAGTTAAATGAGTCTTACTTTTACTTATGTTGTTAAGCTTAATTATCTGTTTGTCATTAAGTAGCCATTAGAAATATATCTTAATTCCCCTACTGATGAGAAACTCAGGGGCCATAAACATTTTCGATAGTAGGCAATTAATAAGTTTGCTGAATGTAGAATCCCAGGCCACTTCAAATTTTTTCTGGAAGGCTTCAAGGAAAAATGATTGCACTTATTAACTGAGTGATTGAACTAAAAAATAATTATCCCTCTCGACAGAAATGTAAACAGGACGCATAATTTGTTTCATTGTCTTTTATCAGGTCTTTAACTATGATATGTATGTCTCTGTAATTTAAATAAAAATCTCACTTTCTTCCTATTGGACTCTAAGATGTAGAATAAAAGAGAAATTTAGGAAACGTTTCTTTTATTTCAATAGGCTGCTCTATAGTCCCCATATGATTTTCCACTGCTTCACAACAATCCCTTCAAGAAGACAGACAAAATCTTCTAATAAAAGAAGCTAATTTATAAACATCTTAAGATAATTTGGGAAATACATAATAAAAGAGAGTGAAGCTCAAAAATTACAAAGATTTTGCTAATATGCAAACTGCCAGCCCACCTCTAATTTGGTACATCCATCCAATCTACTTAGCTGGTTTGTTTAATGTGGAAATTTTTCTAAGAAAATTTAGTTGAGGGATGAATAATATCTTTATGCCCTTGACAAAGATGTTACAAATAGTATTGTTGTGACCAAAAAAAAAAAAAAAAGAATATAGTTCCTGGTGATATTGTAGCACTGGCTCAGCAAAGCCCACAGAATATATGAGGTTCAGCCATGTCCAGTTAAGTCAGGCATATGTAATAGAAGGCGCACTGAGCTGAAATACATTTTCATCGTACAAATCTTCTGGTAGTTCTTCTTCATCTCCATCAGGAAAATACGTAGGGAATGGTAGATTTTTACAGAAATCCTTATGTGCTGGCAAGTTAGAATCTCTAATCTGGAAGAAGAAAAGATCTTATTAGCAAATGCTACAAGTAAACTGGTTATTTAAGTATATCATGTTTAACTTACTATTTTACTATCAAAGAATATCTGTTCCTACATTTCCTAACATGAGTAATACAATTGTTACATATATAAAGGACTCAGTCAATATATTACTCTTTTTATTCCAATAAATTTAATTAATGCAACTATAGAAAAACAATCTCCCTCAAGCTAATCAGCCACTGTAGAATATTATCCTGAATACTACTTTATCTTATTCACAACTTAATCTCTACAACTGTTTGAAATGATAAACTGTTTTTAAATTACTATTTAAATATCAATTACATCCAAATTTTTGATTTTTCCAATATATACATCTGATATAAACTATATACCTAATATCATCTATTTTTAATTATCTATTTTATTATCTACTCACATTATCTGTATTTTATTGCCTACTTTTTACAGCATAGATTTTTCTAGCTGAGGTTCGAAAATGTACCTAGCATATCTGTTAGTCTCAACTCTAAGACGCAGAACTGAATATATGACCTTTTAATAAATAAATTAGCTTATTTAGTAAATAGTATTGTCACCGAGAAGTTAAGAAGAGATTAATATTTAAAAAAAGTTACAATAATAAACAGAGTCCTGGTGATGCAGTGGTTAAGAGCTTGGCTGCACTTCAAATCCACCAGCCGCTCCTTGGAAACCCTATAGGGAGGTTCTACTCTGTCCTATAGGGTCGCTATGAGTTGGAATTGACTCGATGGCAATGGATTTTTGAATAATGATAAATCCGTAAGTCTTTATAATAGCTGTTAACTCCTTATGTTCTAACAATTTTCTAGTTTATCTGTGAACTCACAGACCAAACAAATAATTTTAGCACAGATACTGATATGATCTAAAATGTTAGGTCTTATTTTTGGAAAACATTATTGGGTTCTTCAAAGCTTCTGACTCACTCTACAGCCTTCATTCAGAGAGAAATTAAGAAAAGAAAAAGTAATTATACACACAGAGTAAAATAAAGCGTAATCAGTTTGGCAATAAGAAAATGAATACTTTGGTTGAAGTAAGTACTCAGCTGCTAGGAACAGCTAAGCAGAGAATAACAGATCTATTTTAATCTCTCATAAAAATTGTTCCAAGAAATTGTCACTAAGTTAACCCAGAAGAAAATAAATTTGTTTAGGTTTTTTTTCTTTCAATTTACTGATCTTGGATTGAACCTGAAGCTTAACTTAAAAAGTCATATTCATACAAAATTAAACTTTCTCAGAATTGGGTATTAAAAATAAAACCCAAGCCCCCGGACACCCCGCTAACTCAGAACTGAAGCCACTCCCGAAGTCCACCTTTCAGTCAAAGATTAGACAGGCCTATAAAACAAACAATAACAAACATGAGGAATGTGCTTCTTAGTTCAATCAAGTGTATGAGACCAAATGGGCAACACCCGTCCAAAAGCAAAGACAGGAAGGCAGAAAGGACAGGAAAACTGGACATGGGGAACTCATGGAAACGGGGAGAGTGCTGACACATTGCAGGGATTGCAATCAATGTCACAAAACAATCTGTGTATGAATTTTTGAATGAGAAACTAATTTGCACTGTAAACTTTCACCTAAAGCACAATTAAAAAAACGACAAAATATGATATTACATGGGGAAAAAAAAAAGACCCAGGCAAACAAAACCAACAATAATAAAATTTTCTGTGATAATTTGATAAATGTAAATATTTAGTCATAAATGAACAGCTAATTCTCAGTTTATTTTACATTTTTACAGGTAATTACAGCTGAGGAACATTTCAGACAACAAAAGCACTACTTTTATATTCAAAATGTAAATACTACTATACTAAAATTCATTGATTTGAAATGTGTAATACTACTATACTAAAATTCATTGATTTGAAACATATATGATGACATCTCATCTAATTTTCTTTTATCTTGGTGGCTCTAAAGTTGAGAGCCAAAAATTAGCAAAAAATTAAAAAATGTTAAGATTCTGGCATGTATTTCTGTGCACTTACTCTTACCCCTGGCTTTATTATTTCCCTATCTTCACCAAGACTCTCTCAACCATCTATCTCTTTCTTTTTATATTTATGTGTATTGCCAAACCAGTTCAAATCTTTGAGGAAAGGGTGGAGAGGGGACAAACAAAAAAAGTTAAATCTGATAATACACTTAAATGTGTAAGTTAGGATATAGAAATGAGCACACATGAATAGTATTTAATAACATACATATGATGGCAACAACAGTTCTTTAGACTCGCTCTCTTGGTGTATTTAGTGAATCCAAACAACAGCAAAAAGGCTACACTAATTAAACTGGTTGGTTATCCCTAGACTACCTTTACTAACTTTAGAGTCTTAAAAAAAAAATTAAAAAAATTGGTAGCCCTATACTCTTAAGGAGCAAAACGGCCAGTGGGGGGAATGGATGTTAATGAGGCCGCTTGCCCCATAGGAAGCACCTCAATCTCCATGGACAAGGGGGCTCATTCTCCTGATTTGAATCACCTGGAAGAATGGAAAAAATGGGGTGAATGTTTTCAAAAGATGTACCAAGCTTTTGACATTTAAAACATAAACTCACAAAACATTTCCTTAAACCCACATCTTAATGTTCGAGACAGACATGTGTAACCTTGATGTTTGAGATAGGCACGTGTAACTTTAAGGTTTAAGACAGTTATTTAGGACCATATTTCAAAGATCTTTTGTTTTTCTTTTAATGATGAGTTATTTTTATCCAAATATGTTTGTTGGAAATATATTCACTATGGTGTTAACATAATAACGATTATGAGGATGGTGCAGGACCGGGTTTTGTTCTGTTGCACATAGAGTCACAATGAGTCGGAACCCACTCGATGGCATCTAACAACAGTGTGTTAACAGTTCAAAGTGGATATTTCTTTGATGCTATAGTTTCTTTTGGGATTGCCTTTGTTGTAACGTCTTAATACCTTCAGTGATAATAAACCAGCACCCTTTAAGAAGGTTGACTGAGGTTTTTAAAAGCAACCTTTTATTGAAGTGGGTAACAAATCTGAGTAATACGTGTTGCTGGTAATAAACTGTTTAAAACGACCAGCTCAGAACATCACTGCACACACTACGGTTTTTGAAGACAGCTGACCTATCCATCCCTTATGGTGTCAAAGATGTTGAGGTGCCACCTGAGAAGTCACAGTAGTGGTAAGGCTCAACTAGAAAGCCAGCACAGTACTATATGCACCAAAATGGAAGAAAAGGATGATCTGACAATATTTTAAAAATTTATCTGCTATCCAGTACAAATCTACTATGGGAACTAATTCTTATCCTTTTTTTCTCTTCTGTTATGTTGTGATATTCAGAATAGAGCTAGGTTACACTGGATTGGAAACCTACTTAAACTTAGAAACCTATATCCAACCACAAAGGACAGGACAGGAGATCAATGAAAAATATATTTCTGGGAATAGGTGACATCACTTCTACTACAATCTTTCAGAGAAGTGAGAGAATTTGTATTATGTTGACCTAAACCCCAGACAGAGTATTTATTTTGATAGAAATAAACCTGTGAGAGCTTAAAAGTTTTCGCTTCAAATCTATCTTGTACATGCTTGTTTTCTTCTTTTGTTTTTGAATTAAAAAGAAAAAGCTTTTTTTTTTTTTTTTAAAGGGGGGAAAAAAAAAATCACACTTAAAGGGGTAATAAGGCTAGTGGTAATAGCAAAATAAATCTCTTCCTAAAAGTGTCTACTTTTAATCACCTTTCTTGGTGACTCTCATTTAATTTCCACCCCACAAATTGCCAATTCCCGTGTCAAAGTAACTCTCTTTAGAGAGCAAACAAGTTCTTGTTTTTGGAGGGACAGAGATGCTGACATTTTGACAATAAATTTCCTTATAACCTTTTCACATTTCTGAAGATCCCTCTGCTTGGTGGCTCTACTATTTTTGCAGGTTTCCAGTTTCATAGGGTATAGGGTATTTTGTGTAACCTTTTAATTCAGATACACTACTCCAAAAACAGTGAAGTTCAACAAAGAGCATGTGGTAAAAGAGCCACTTATTTTCCAACCACAAATACAGATCAAAGAATTCACAGCACACACCCTCATATGTGTCAGCTATACATACATACCTTTACTAAGCAATTTTTATGTCCAGGTACAGAGCCATTTACATAGATTATATTGTGCTTTGTGTTTATTCTCCACACCTAAAGCATAAAATGAAATTAAAGTTAAAGCGCTAAAAATTTGAAAACATATTAAAACAAACAAGCAGTATCTGTTAGTAAAAGATGAGGAGGAGGGAAGCCTGTAAAGTAATAATCATATTAGCACTTCAAAATGTTGAACAGGAATTCAAAAAAATTCAAACACTATGAATGACACTGGGAAAGAATGATCTATCAAGAAATGGCACTGAGAAAACTAAATTTTCGGGGGTGGGGGGAAATCAAGTTTGACCCACACACTTGACATATATTTGACATAATCCATAACCTGGTGTATAACCTCCCACTTTTCTCAGTGCTTATATAATGGCATAGCAACACACATATGTGGTGAGGTTGTGGTTCACATTTTTATGGAAAAAAGTATTATTATATATATGTCATGCACTAAATCTGACTTTTGCCACACAACATTTTCTGTTCTTTAAATATAAAACCCTAAGTTATGTCCTACAAAAGTGGCAGAAAACTCACTTAAAATATAAATGTGACTGAAATGATCAAGACTACCTGGATATCTCAATGGACTCCGTTGGCATCATTAAAGCACACCAAAAATTTTTTCCTAGTTAATATTAGAAACTAGGAACTGGGCAAGCCACAACTTCACTGGGCCTAATTTATAAAATAAGAGGGCAGAGCAGATCTTCACATGGAGAAAAAAAATTACACAAATAGGAAGGAATGATCAGTCAAAAAATGATACTGAGACAACTAAATACCTCTGGGGAAAATCAAGTTTGATCCAGAGCTCATATGTAATAATGGCTAAAAGTTAAATACTACAGAAACTAAAATCACACACACACACACACACACACACACACACAGTGGGGGTGGGTGCGGGGGAGATTTCTGGTAAGCATAAAAATAGTAGAAGGGTAGAACAAAATACTAACTTACAGAAAAAGACCAGACTTACTGGCCTGACAGAGACTGGAGAGACCCTGAGAGTATGGCCCCCGGACATCCTTTCAGCTCAGTAAATGAAGTCACTCCTGAGGTTCGCCCTTCAGCCAAAGATCAGACAAACCCAGAAAACAAAATGAGACTATAGGAGCACACTAACCCAGGGGAAAGGACGAGAAGGCAGGAGGGAGGCGACAGGAAAGTTGGTAATAGGGTACCCAAGGTCGAGAAGGAGAGTGTTGACAAGTCGTGGGGTTGGTAACCAATGTCATAAAACAGTATGTGTACTAAAAAAATAAAAAATAAAAAAGTAATAGAAGGGAAAAAATCTCAGATTGAATTATACAAAATATAAATTTTTTCTGCTGGTCAAAAATTATAAATAAAATTATCTAAAATAGAAACTGGAAGGACATGTACAAAAAAGATTATCTTTGGATGTTCTTATGGGAGGCTTATTTTCTTCTTTGTACTTTCTATGATTTGAAGCATATATGCATACATACATAAATAGTGGTTTATTTTTATAGACACTGAATTATACTGCACTCATTATAGTATAACTTGCTTTTTTCATTTATGTAGCACATACATTCAATTTAGTAGAGACTGAACTTATTTTCCCCCTTTAAAATACATATACAATTATTTTATACAAACATCTATATTTACAATCCTTTTTTTTTTTTTTAGTGCTATCCCCCACCCTCCATTTTGCTTGTCTCTCTCTCCTTCCTCACCCACATCCATGTCCATCCACCACACATCTGACATATAATCCATAATCTGGTATGCAACCTTCCACTTTTATCTGTGCTTATATAACGGCATAGTAACACACATATGTATGGAGCGTTCTGTTCACTCTTTTATGAAAAAAAAAATGCTCTGAATCTTACTTTTTTCATGCAATAACATTTTGTAGAAAACCTCCAGGTCAAATGACAGATAACTAATTTTTTCTTTCTAATGGCTGTACATTCCATTGCTTGCTTGTTAAATGAATACTTACTGCTGCTGTTGTTGCTACTGCTACCACAACAGCACATACACATACAAGTCACTTATCTTCCACCTCTCAGTAATTTTAAAGCCTATTAGAACAATGAGACAGACACATATATTAAACATATACTCTGGTGCCTTTGCATTTAGGCATTAATTTGATCATTGCTAAAAAGCTGCTTCAGAAACTTACTTTCAGTCCAAATGCTGTCCTATCTCTGTTCCCCATTTGTCCAGGCATTTTAGTTCCAGGCCAGACTCTTGCAACATCCTAAATGAGAGAACCAGTCAGTACTTCCAAGTACTCTCAATTTCTAAGAGCACTGATCAAATCAAAATGCAAACTAAGAATATGAGTTATTGAAATGTTGTTTTATTTTTTCCCCATTCTGAGGATTTCCTTTCTATATGAGACTGACAACATAAATACAGAGTAAGAAGGATACTTAGGAGAAAAACTCAATAACAAGAGTAAGTGACCTATGAGTCGGAACTGACTCTACGTCAACAGGTCTTGGTTTTCCGTGGTCAGGGTTAGTTATTAGAATATTGAGTTTGTCTAGTTCTGGCTGTCTGATTCACACAAATCAAGCAGCTTCACACTATCTCTTATATTTTATAAACATACTTACTCTGTGATAAGCACTATGTACTAAAATAGGACCAACACTGCCCTGCCCCACCAAATTTATACTGTCATTAAAAGTGTACCCTAACGCTTAGGATTATGAAGGCATTTACTAGCTAATCCTTAATGGAAGTATTTACACAAACACAGATGTGTATGTTTCATGATAAATAACTAACTTGGGTCACAAGAATAGGTTGTTCTATATCCCTAATTTTTAGAGGAGCTTTATTGAGATACAATTCACATATCATGCATTTTGCCCATTTAAAGTATACAATTCAATGGTTGTTAGTATATTCAGAGTTCTGCATCACCAAAATCAATCTTATACCTTTTTCATCACCCCAGAACAAAAATCCCACTTATTAGCAGTCACTCTTGTTTCTCTCCCCAACCCTCCTAAGTCCTGTGCAACCACTAATCTACTTTGTCTCTGTGCATTTATCTACTCTGGCCATTTCACATAAATGGAATCATACAATAGGTGGTCTACTCTGACAGGCTTCCTTAACTTAGCATCATGTTTTCAAGGTTCATTCATGTTGCACCATGTATCAGTACTTCATCCCATCCTACTGCTGAATAGTCCACTGCATGGATATATCATATTTTAATTATTCATTAATCAACTGTTGAACATTTGGTTTGTTTCTACTTTTTGGCTATTATGAATAATACTGCTATGAATATACATGTAAAAGTTTTTGTGTGGACACATTTTCATTTTTCTTAGATATATACCTAGGAGTGGATTGCTGGGTCATATTTTATGTTTTTTCTTAACCTTTTATTTTGAAATAATTTTATACTCACGGAGAAGTTACAAAAATAGTACAGAGAATTCCTGAGCACCCTTCACCCAGCTTCCACAAATGACATCCTACAAAACCACAGTACAATCATCAAAACTAGGAAACTGACATGAGTACAACACCATTAACTGAACAGACCTTAATTCTTCTCCCATTTTTGGAGTTTCACATGTACTCATTTTGTGTATGTGTGTAGTTCTACAAATTTTCTGACATGCACACATTTGTGCATCCACCACCACAATCAGAATACTGCTTCATCACCCCAAAACTTACCTCATGTTATCCCCTTATAGTTATCCTCAAAACCACCGATCTGTTCCTCATCACTATAGTTGTGTCATGTAGATTGTGTTATAAAATGACCTTTTGAGATGGCCTTTTTTCACTCAGTATAATGGTCTCGCGACCCATCCACGTTGTTGCATGTATCAATAGTTCTTTCTTTTTATGGATGACTTTTAAGTAACTGCCAAACTGTCTTTCAAAGTGGCTGTACCATTTTACACTTCCACCAGCAATGCATGAGAGTTCCAATTTGTCCACATCCTTGTCAACACTTGTTCTTATCTGTCTTTTCTATTATAGCCATTCTATAAGTGTAAAGTTGTATCTTTAGTTTTGATTTACAAGTCCCTGATGACTAATAATGTTGGGCATCTTTTCAGCTGCTTATTGGCCTTTTATATATCTTCTTTGAAGAAATGTCTATTCAGATCCTTAACCCATTTTTTAATTGGGTCATATATCTTTTTTACTACTGAGTTGTAAGAGTTCTTTATATATTCTGGATACAAGTCATTATCAGATATGATTCACAAATATTTTCTCCCACTGTTAGTTATCTTTTCACTTGCTTGATATTATCATTTGTAGCAAGAAGGTTTAATTTTGATGAAGTATAATTTATTTTTTCTTTTGTTGCTGTCCTTTTGGTATTATGCCTAAAACTTTGCTTAACCCAAGATCATGAAGATTTACCCTTATGTTTTCTTAAATTTATGTCTACAATATACGTAATCTTTTAAACTTTTAGGTGGCAGATATAATACTCCTTTACCTGTAAGTATTTCAACGTGCTTTTACTAAGAACAAGGATATTCTCACATAACAACATAAAACTCAGAAAATTTCACATACTATTATCTAATCTGCAGTCTATATTCTAATTTTAACGTCCCCAATCATGTTCTTTACATTAGCTGTCCTGTCGCATCAGTCTCCTTTAATCTGGAATAGTTCCTCTGTCTTTCCTTGTCTTCCATGACCCTGACATTTTTTAAAAAATTTTTTATTGTACTTTAAATGAAGGTTTACAGACAAATAGCTTCTCATTATACAGTCAATACACATATTGTTTTCTGACACTGGTTAAGAACCCCACAATGTGTCAACACTCTCCCTTCTCGACCTTGAGGACTTTTTTTTTGGTGAAAATATACATAGCCAAAGTTACACCATTTCAAAAGCTTCTACATGTACAATTCAGTGACATCCATTACATTCTTCCAGTTGTGCTGCTATTCTCACTATCCTTTTCCAAATTATTCCATCACCATTATCTTCAACTCACTGTCCCCTAG